CACCTTGGTTTAGGGTAACCGTCAATCTGCGCGCGACATTGATCCCACGTAGTGTAGATGCCAATGTTCCTACCGTTAGCAACCGCATAGAAACCAGCACCTTTCGCCATAGAACTTGGCAATTTACATGCAGCAGTTTGACAGTAATCAAAATCTACGGGTTCTTGACCTCTATTCTGCCCTGTTTAGAATATATGGATTACTATTTTGATATACAAATCATCAACAAAGTATCTCCAACGGAACAACCATAATTGAACCCAAAATCGTAGCAAAACGGCAAGATATTCATTCCACAGTGACAACTACGCATCTGATGCCTAATGCAGGGCAGTGTGAGGTATGCACGCAAAACTACGAAGCAAAACAACAATAACCATGATTAGGGTAAATACGTTTAGTATGCAACAAGATTATATAAATAAAATTCTTTGAATATATGCTCTTTCACTTCTTCACTTTCTTTTCGGGTTCCGGTTCTTCTTTGGCACTGGATGCCTCGGCGTTTCGTTTACGACCGGCCATGGCTTCCTCTGAAGCAATTTGGATTAGCTGCCTGTTGAATCATGCTTTCTAACCACAGACCTATTTGCTTTAGAGTTTTGCCTTCGGCAAACATTTTTGCCTCCTCTTCATTATCGAACTTCTTGAACTTAGCGCCTTTGAAATTTGTAGTTTGCTTCTTACATTCGTCCCACGATGTGAAACTGAAACAAAAAATCACTTAATGCTTGATAGAAATTCTGGACTTCAGAGTACAATCAATGAAACCGAACATTGCTTCAGATACAAAATTACACAAATTCATAAGAAGCTTACACTCCAGTAGTATGGCCTCTTGCGACTGCGTAGTATGTCGTGGCTTTCTCCTCTTTGGCTTTTTCATCTTTCTTCGCTCCATCATCATTCGCCTTGGCCTTCGACGACTCCTCTTTTGGCTTACTTTTCGCACTTTCATCGTCTTTCTTTGCTTTGGAAGCTTCCTCTTTCGGCTTTTCTTCTTTGCCTTTATCATCGGCCTCTGAAACGGGACTCATTTCCATGTCAAACAAACGGTGCATAAGCATTTCTCATTGTCAGTTATCAAGCTCGAAAATACTACAGGTGTTATAAGCGAGAACAAATGCCGGCAGATACGCGGCAGTTATTCTCCGGTTTTTCACTTTTTTTTTAACTGGGGTATAATGGGTCCTGTAAATTTATTCCCGATTTCAGAAAGGCACTGGTCCATAGTATAAGTCAGTCAAATGACACACTACTGTTTCGAGCATATTCATTTCCCACCCAATTCAGACTCCCCAAAACTTCTCAAATCGTTTGATTCATAAAGCTGGCGTCGTATTGAGCCGTTAGTTCCCGAACAGCTCCACCACTGCGCTCGAACTGCAGAGCTATGCCTGTTTCCCGAATTAACGGACAGTAGACGCCAGCCTAACCAAAATCGCGAAACGCTATTCGGTTTCATCATAGATCGAAAACTGGAAATTTCCATAACTCATCGATAAGATTCAGGTCTCATTCAGCTTGTGCATTAAAGAGACATCAGACCAACTTCGTAGTTATATATAGAGTACAGTCAATCTATTTTGCAAAAAATTAAGACCTACGCTTCTCTTTCCCGTGGAAGAACTTGTTGAAGTAAGCAAGAGCATCGTCTAACTTGTCGAACTTCTTATAAAGTGGCTGAGGATAATTTTCTATCTGAAATCAATTTGCTTTGACATGACACACTAGATATACTCAGTGAAGAGTAGATAAAATTTTTGTTTCGCTACGCAAACCTAAGCCCTCAACGATACAAAAAGTTCTATATCGCAGCTTAGATAGAATCTACCTAGAACACTGATCTGAAAAATATATTTTTCTACAATCAAGATGAAACCTAGGCGGAATCGGAAAAATGTCAACTCTCCTTCAGTTTCTCTATCGAGTAGCATCAACAGAAATCCCAGAGTGGTAAATTATCATGCACAAACTTAAAAATAACTGATAAAGGAAATCAGGCTGCTAACATACTTGTCATATACTCTAAATCTGCGACATACGTATTTCTTGACATCCTCGTAATTAGTGAAGACCCCAACCGAATAGCCACGAGCAACTGCATAATATTTCTCCAAATTAGGTTCAGGAACAGCTACTAAATGAAGATAATACTGATGGGAGCGGAAAATATGATAAGAACTTCAAAAACCAGGAAAACAAAACACTCACACTCGACTTTCTTTATCTCACGTGCTTTCATATACTCTTCAGCTTCCTCACGTTTGGAAAATTTCTTGTAGACAGCTTGAGGAAAGTCGTCTATCTGCAATAATTGATGCGAATGTTGAAAGAGGAGATTTATGATAATTATAAACAACATTCTGCTTCATTATTTGTGCTGACCATTGAGAGTTATGTGGTGTAATATCTAGATGTCGCCATTAACACATCCACGAGAATACGACCCACCGGTGGGTCGTACGTGTTCTGCCATTTC